AAATTACACATATACAAAATATTTATAGTGGCACTTTTTGTATTAGCAAAGAATTGGAAACAAAGTAAAATGTCTATAGACTTGGGAATGGCTGAACAAATTGTGGTTCGTGAATGTAATGGAACGGTCGGTGTTTAAGAAACAAAGAAGATGACTATGAGAAGCATGGACAGACTTACATGACCTGGTGTGTACTGAAACAGAGCCAAAAAAACAACATAAAGAAAAATTACCATAAACCAAAGAGAATGTTGCAGAATTACAAAGAATAAGCATATGTCCAAAGAAGAGACATGAGAAGACACCCCAATCCCATTCCTTTCCAGAGGTGAGAGGTCTTCAGACTTTTTTGATGTACCAATCAGTTTTGCTGATTTGTTTTGTCTCTTCTTCCTCTTAAAAAAAAAAGAGTATTGTCATATGTGCTGACTTTGTGGCAGGGTGGAAGGTAAGAGATACTGGGAGAAATTTTGGTGATGTAGAAACTACACACATACACAAAAACACATATATGTATTACTAAAATTTTATTTTTTTAAAAACATTGAGGTGAAAGTCTATGTAGAACCAGCCAGCAGATATGGAGATACAAAACCAGAGCTTAGAGGGATAGAAATAGATTTGAGATGAATTCTTATAAAAATAGAGAACAGCAATAAACTAAAAGGGCAATTAAAAATTTGTTTTTTTCTCTAGATGTATTAACTTAAGATTTGTCTTTCTCTCTAAAACTTCATAACAAAACCAAAGCCCCATTGATTTTTTATGGTGATCTCTAAACTAATATTCCTTTATAAGTACTGCAGATGGAAAAACAGATGGCAAAGGATTTGTACCATTGTCTTAGAATGAACAATTCCTGTATTGCTTCTTACACCATAGCTTCCTCTATAAGAAAATTACTTCTGACCACATTATTTTGTTTCAGACAAATAATTTAAGAGCTTTAATTCTTCATTTACTTGCTCTAATTGGAATTAAGGGTTCAAAACTCAGTGTTAAATAGGATCTCTGTACTTTAAATAGAATTCAGTCTGACTGGGGATGACCTTGAAGTTGTTCTTAATTTTCTTAACTTTTTTATAAGTGTGTCTATGATGCAGAAATGTCCTTTTCATTGATGTTGCATTGGGGAAAATCCTTGAAATGTCTAAAGGGAAAAGTAATGTAAGTGAAAGAATTTTTGAGCTGGAGGGGACCTTAAAGCAGTTTTAGGAGCAGTCTAACCTGCTCATTTTACATGTAAGGAAACTAGGGCCAGAGAGGCAAAGTCATTGAAGGTTACAGAATTAGTTCGTGGCAAAGATGAGACTAGAATTCTAGTCACCTAATTTCTAGTCCAGTGCTTTTTTTTTTTTAAATGCTTTGTGGTCTTACTTGTAATCCTTAGTCCAGTGCACTCCATTCAGGGTACCTGCTTAAGTTTTTTGACTGTGCAGGAAGAGGGTGAAAGAAGAGAACCAATGACTTAGATGTTTTAAAAAAATGCATCTTTATTTTCACTAAACTTTGTTTTCATTTGTTATCCTATGTATTTTATTCTATGCATTTAAAAGCATTACTTAGAAGAGGTCCATGACACACACACACACACACACACACACACACACACACACACACAAAAAAGATTCAGAACCCTTGACCTTAGAGTATTCATTGGATCATCTGCTACTGTTCAATCTATCATTCGCTATACTCAAATCTTGACTAATATCAAACATCTGGCACTTAATTAGACATGACTTACAGTCAAAATCAAAGAAAAGGGAGGCAGTGTGGTACAGTGAAAAGAGTATATACTTGGAGTCAGAAGCTGTGGATCTGGATTTGGCCACTTTCTGCGTGACCTTGGCCAGGTCACTCCACGGGCCTCAGTTTCATCACATGCGGTGAGTGGTTTTGGAATATATGGTCTCTGAGTCCCTTCCAGATCCAGATCCTTTACTTGAATTCCATGGGCTTTCCTGCTCTAAAATCTATGATGCTTTGGTTCTAAGAAAATTCCAATACAAAGTCAACATTCAAAGATGGTGGGAAAAATTTAAGCCTATGACAAAGATAAATCAAGACTTCTATAGCCTAAAATTCATCTTTAACTGTAGTGTAATAATAGGGTAGAAAAAAGTTATTAGTAAACGTTTAGATTTGCCCATTATGTATGCTTTGGCAAGAAAACTTTGAAACTTTCTCAAGATAATATATTTAGAAAGTTATTTAGTATAAAGGAGGTGGGGTAATTGAAAATTACTTTTTTCAGATGGTCTTGACAACCGGTCAAACAACATCCAGAAAGTGAAAGACAATAGAAATTTAACTAATGTTCCCCAGGCATCAGACTTACAAAACCAATTCAAATAGTAATCAACTTGGCTCATAAAAGTGCCTCATTGTTCCTCTATTGCAGATAAAGCAATAGATCCTAATACAGACACAGGTAGATAAGGGGAATAGCATATACAATAAGGACAGGAGACTACCAAAGAGTTGAAACAAGACTTTCAGACAGTATAAAAGTTGGTTATGAAATCAGTTTTGGTGGAATAAGGACAGAAAGGAAACAGTTGTAACATTTTGTATCAAAAAAAAAAAAGAGGGCAGGACATTGAATAAATATTTGTGGAAACATCAGGATTATAAGCATGGTCTTGATATCTGCTAGTCACTTTAACCCCAGCTTAGCATCAAGTTTCTCTCAACATTTCTACAGAACTGTTTTAAAATGCAATTTTACCTTTTATCTGAAATTAAATGCTTAATTTATTGTGTAAGTTTAAGGCTATGCAAAAATGTACCTGTAAAAGGTTATTTAAATATCTCTCTATCTAGATAGATAATTAGAGATAGATAGATAGAGATATAGCTTTCAGGGGCAGGAGAATGAAATCACAACATTTTTATTTTAATCGACTGGGCTTTCTTAAATTACATCAAGTAAACAGTCCAATTGCATTTTTGGGAAAAACAATTATGGGGGGAAATTTAGCATTTCATATCCTTAGCAGTAACAGAAAAAAAAATGGTTATAACTCTGGTTAGTACATACTATAACCCTATTAGATACCAGAATTTCACAGAAGCACAGAATTTGGAGCTCAGAGGCCATCGAATCTAATTTATACCTGAAAAGGGTTCCCTTCTACATCATATTCAACAAGTGGTCATGCAGGCTCTGCCTGAAGACCGCTAGGGAGGGGGAATCCACCACCTCAGCCTAAGATAGTCTACTCTACTTTGAGAGTTTTAATTGGCAGAAGTTTTCTCTTAAATTGAGCCAAAATCCACCATTCTGTGAGTTCCAGTCACTGCCCCTAGTTCTGCCCTCTGGGGTCAAGAACAAGAATTTCATGAAGTTGTGCTGAACATATGTAAAACATTTTTATTGATCTACTTAAAATATCAATCCACAACTGTCAACTGAAATGAAGAACACCACCAAAGTAGCAAAAACTAGGATCCTTAATGGAGGCAAGGGGATTTCGATTACGTTTCTCTTGGGAAAGTGTATAGAGGAGGCTGGGGAAGGCTCAGAAGTGGCAGCAGCTGGGATGGTCAAGTTTGTTACAAAAAATAATCAGAAGTGTGTGTTCATTTAATTTTGATAGTCTTCCTTTTAACTAGTTTTGACTGTCCCCAGGTAATTCATAGCTCTGGGATCGGGCTAGGTCAGTTCTTAGCTGCATTCAACATTCTGTCCAGTTGGTCAAGACCAATTTCTTAGCTGACTAAGGGAGGCATTGAGGAGTTTGATGAGCTGTTGGACCATTTTTATTTTAATTTGATGAGCTTTCTTAAATTGCATCAAGTGAACAGGTCAATGAAAATATTTACTTAGCATTTTACACTCTTAGCAGTAATAGAAAAATGGTTATAACTCTGGTTTAGTACATATATACCGCTATTAGAAATAAAAATTATACAGAATCTCAGATCTGGGAGCTCAGAGGCCATATAGTCTAATTTGTACTTGAAAATGGGTCTCTCCTACATGATATTCAACAAGTGGTCACGCAGCCTCTGCCTGAGACAGAGAATTCACTACCTCAGCCTAAAAGAGCCAACTCCATCTTGAGACAGTTTTAATTGGCAGAAATTTTATCTTCAATTGAATCAAAACCCATCATTTCTATGATTTCCATCCACTGCCCCTAGTTCTGTCCTCTGGGGTCAAGAGGAGCAAGAATTTCATGACGTTGTGCTGAACATTTGTAAAACATTCTTTATTGATCTACTTAAAATATCAGTCCACAACAAAAAATATTATTTAGTATAAGGCACATGGCGTTATTGAAAACGACCCTGTTTTTCCAAGTGGTTCTGGTATATTCAGATAGTACCTAGAGGGTGAAAGACAATACATATTCAACTAATGATACCAGTCTAATAAAAACAATTCAAATTGTAATTAATTTTGCCCATAAAAGGTCCTCACTTTTGTTATGTATAGAAGATGATACAGTAGAGTATCATACCTAGAACTCTGAATATCAAAAAAGCAGGTGAGCCATTAAGTATTTAGTTGAGTCTTTCCATCTGAGAGGAGAGTCTTCCACTGACTTGATCAGAACTACAAAGACCTGCTTTGCTTTCATTCAGACTACAGATGGATACTTCTGAAAGTGGTTTTTAATGGCACACAAGTCAGTCAAGCTAAAAGATGTACATAAGGATCCAATCTGAAAAGGGTAGATAGGGATTTAGGCTTACCATATTGTACTAAAATAAATTTCTCCTCTATATATGATAGAAGAGAGCCTTTAAGACAACAATTCTACCTCTAGGATGGTGGTGGTTTTTAGACACATTCATTTTAAAATGGCTATGAAAGGCAAGCCACAATCTTCAATGTGGCAGCTAATTTCAAACATTCCTTTTAAAAGATTCCAAGTACAAAGACTTCTTAGAGGTATGAACATCTCAGATCTGCTCTATATATAGGAAGTTAGTAACAGGTTCAATTTGAGACATCAAAAACATTTTAAATAGACACCACAAGATGCATCTGTAGTTTAAAGGTCAAATTTATTAGGAGATTAAGAGATGTATTATACATGGACTATAAATACTGCACAGCTGACTTTATTCACAGTCAGACACAGAGATATAGTCAGTGCCGACCTATTTGGTGGACACTCTTGTTCTTTTGTTCCAAGAAAAGTTTGCACCGTAAGACTTGGATTTAGGTTTGGGGACCTTTCTCTCTTGAACGTCATAACTCCAGCCTGGAAAAAAGCATACCAATGGTGTTAAAGAATACACTTAATATACAATAAAAACAGAATTCATGACTTTAAAAAAAAAACCATAAGGTTCATTTATTGTCATGAAGAAATGTCAATATATCTGATATAGAACACATATTTAGTAGTTTGGTTCTCTGTAAGGTCAGTAGAGCATAATCTTTAAGAACAAAGGACAAACAATGAATGGGAGTATAAATCCTATTTCTTATAAAAGTCCAAAGGCAAAGACTAAAGCTGGCTTGTCCTGTCTCAGATTCTAAGGTGTAGCCAATGGGTTAACTTCAAATTCAAAGTTTCCTATTGTTTCGACTGATGATTACACCCATTTAAATTTTCTTCACTATTCTTGATTTGCCTGTTTTCCAAAAATAAACACATATTTTTAAAGTAGAAAGTAGTAATTATTCTACATTTGCTATTTCACAGCTGAAAAAAGTAATCAGGTATAAAGATTAAAATTATTATATAATCTCATAATTTTAAAGTTGGGAAGGACCTTTCTGTGTATGTAATATATAAAATCTTATGTATAAAATTCAAAATATATGTGAATGTATGTGCACATATGATATATATTTTAAATACACACAAATATACATATCTGTTAACTGAACAGAACCTCCACTATACTATACTATATCAAACAAATGAATCATCCTGTATCTACCTGTAGACCTTTAATAAGGGGGAACCTATTATTTCCCAGGACAGCCAATTCTACTTTGGGATAACTCTAATAGGAAGTTTTTACTGATATCAAGCCTAAACTTGCAACTTCTCAACTCCCCTTTCCTCTCCTTTTCTCCCCTCCTAGTTTTGCCCTCTGGGTACAAACAGAATAACTCAAATCCCTTTTTCCCTATAATCATGTTTTCCCCCTTAGATTCCTCACCTCTACTTTATTCTCTTCTTCAAGTTAAACATCCCAAGTTCCTCCCACTGGTTCCCATGTGAAATGGACTTGAGCCTCTTCACTATTCTGTTTAACCTACTCTCAATGTTACTTATGAAAATCTTTTAGTTCAGTCCTGAAATGACAACCATATTCCAGATGTGCTCTAATTACACAGGGCCCATCACCCCTTTAATCCTAGAAGTTATTCTTCTTTTAATGCAACCCAAGATTGCTTTAGCTTTTTTATTTTTGGGGGAGGGCTGTTATAGCACATTATTAACTCACACTGAGCTTGTATTCTACAAAAATGTTCATATCTTATTTAGGGAATGTGTTGTCTAACTACATCATACTTCTGAAGTCCAGTTTTAAAAAGTTTTATTGATGTGTTTGGTTTTTACATGATAAATATGTACAGATTATCCCTGCTCCTTCAAAGTTTTCCTACGTTAATGTAAAACAACTAAATAAAATTAGCAATCCAGTAACTTCATCTGAAAGTAATGCAACATTACACATCTATAGCATTTTCAATCTCTCTATTATTATTTGTTTTTTAAAAAAATGAACAAAAATCTATTTTCTCTCCTTTCTACCTTACTCCACTGGAGAACCCCTCCCCCTTAATTTCTTGTAAGAAATTATGCATAGCCAAACAAAATAAAATCCCTTATTGGATGTATGAAAAAATAAATCTGCCACCTCTTTTTCAGGAGGTAGGTAGATAGCATGTTTCACTATAGATTTAAAAAAAAAAAAGGTGAGGGAAGGGGGGAACTAGGTGGTGCAGTGGATAAAGCACCGGCCCTGGAGTCAGGAGGACCTGAATTCAAATCCAGACTTAGATACATAACACTAGCTGTGTGACCCTGGGCAAATCACTTAATCCCATTGCCTGGCCAAAAAAAAAAAAAACACCAAAAAAAGAAACATGAATGGTAACTATACTGATCATAGTTCTTAGATCTTTCAAAGCTGTCTTCACAGTGCTGCTATTATTGTATAAATTGTTCTCATTTTGTTCATTTCATTCTTTGTCAGTTTATAAATCTTTGAAAATTTTCATTTTTATAATGTTGATGTTATAAACCTATTTCAGCTTTACTCTGAAGTAGTTCACATATGCCTTTCAATGCCTCTATTTCCTCATTTTACAACAGTATTCCATCTTGTTCATAATAATCCATTCCTCAACTTATGGGCATTCCTTTAGTTGCCAGTTTTTTGGGGTTTTTTTGCCCACCACAAAAATTGCAGCCATAAATATTTTTCTACATATATGCCCATTTCCTACTTCTATGATTACTTTTGGGCACAAGCAAAGCAATGTGCACTGTTTAGTAACTTTTTTGTATAATTCTGAATTGCTTTCCAAAATGATTATACCTATTCACAATTCCACTAATAGTGCATTAATGTGCCTATTTCCCACACCCTCTCCAAAATGTAGCATTTTCTTTTTCTGTCATCTTTGCCAATCTGATGGGTGTGAGATGGATGGAATCTCAAAATTGCTTTAATTTATATTTCCCTAATTAGTAGTGATTTAGAGCATTTCCCCCCATATGGTTATAGCAGCCTATATTTCTTCCTTTGAGAATTACTTGTTCATATCCTTAGACCATTTATCAATTAAAGAAAGGCTCTTATTCTTATAAACTTGAATCAATTCTTTTATATCTTAGAAATGAGACTTTTCTCATAGAAACTTACGAAAAAAGATGTCTTTCTCAGTTAATTATTTCCCTTTTAATTTTGGCTTTATGAGATTTGTGCAAAAATGTTTAATTTTTTTTAGTAATAAAAATTATCCATTTAATCTTTTGTTTTCCCCATCCTTTGTTTAGTCGTAAACTTTCCCCCTAGCCAATATATAAGCATTATTTTCATGTTTCTCTAATATATTTATAATGTGACCTTTTATATCTAGGTCAAATACCCATTTGGAACTTACCTCAGTATATGAGGTGTGAGATTTTTGTCTAAATCTAATTATTTCCATACCACTGTCCAATTTCCCTAGCAGTTTTTATGAAACAGTGAGCCCATGTCTCAGCAGCTGGGGTGTGTGTGTGATCATTGCCTACTGGGGCATTAAATAATACATTTTGCTTCTGTTTTGAAAATTGTTGCTCTGTAGTATAGTTTGAGATGTGGCACTGCTTAACCCCCTTCAATTTCACTTCTTTTCAATATTAAGCTTGCTACTGCTCACCTCTCCCCCACCCCATCAAATCAAAATCAAATCAGGTAACATGTGTAAAGTGCTTTGCACATAACAGGCACTTAATAAATGCTTGTTCCCTTCCTCCTTCCATATAAATTTTACTCTTTTTTCCAGTTCTAGAAATTAATGTTTTGGTAGTTTGTTATGACATTAAATAAATAAATCAATTTAGGTAGTATTGTCAGTTGTATTATATTGACTTGCTCTACCCACAATTAGTATTTTCCCAATTACACAGGTCAGGTTTTTTTATTTTCATTTTTGTTGTTTTTTGTAATAGTGGTTTGTAGTTATATTTATAGAGTTCTTGGTAGGTAGACTCCCAAGTATTTTATGCATTCTGTACTAGTTTTAAATGCAATTTCTTTATCTTTCTGGGTTGTATTGGTAATATATAGAAATGTTAAAGAATTTTGTGGACTGTTTTTTTTTTTTACTATCCTGCAAGTTTGATTATTGTTTTAGTTACTTTTTTAGTTGACTTTTTAGGGTTCTTTAAGTATACCATCATATCATCTGCAAAAAACCAGATGATTTTACCTATGCTTATTCCCTCAATGTATTTTTTCTTGTTTTATTGCTGTAGTAGACATTTCTAATACATAAATAGAATGGTGACAAGACAAATTTTATTTTAAAATTTTACATCAGTGCTCATTAGAAGTTTTCTTTTTCTTCTTTTACTCTCACTAGCTTATATATCACAACCATTTCTATGTCCTAGAGAGAATTTGGAAGAATTTCTTTTGGGCTATTTTTGCAAAAAGTTGACATATTTGAATTAACTTTTCTTTGAATGTTTGAGGGAATAAACTTGTGAAACCATTTGATCCTGGAGTTTTATTTATTTAGAAATTAATTTATGGCTTGTTCAATTTCTCCTTCTGAAACTGGATTATTTAAATGTACTACTTTTTGTTCTGTTAATTTGGTTATTTTATATTTTTACAAATATTTATTTCATCCATTAGTTTTATTGGCAGACAGTTGGGCAAAATAATTTCGAATAATATCCTTTTATTTCTTCATTTGTTGTCAATTCTCATTTTAATTTTTGATACTGGTAATCTGGTTTTTCTCTTCTTTTTTAGTCAAACTAGCAAATTGTTTATTATATTAAAAAAAGCTCCTAGTTTTATATTATTTTAATTTTTTTGTTTTCAAATTATTAACCTCCAGGTTCAGGGTTTCTATTTTGCTGTTTAAATTTTGTTTTCTAGCATTTATAGTTGTATTCCCAATTCATTGATCTATTTTTTCTTTTTTTCTTAATAAAAATGTTTAGAGATATAAAATTTCTCCTAAGGACCGCTTCCCTGCATCCCAAACATTTTGGCATGTTATCTTACTGTTTCCTTTAATGAAATGATCATTTCTATGATTTGTTCTCTGACCCATTAACTCTTCAGAATTAAGTTATTTAGTCTCCACTTGATTTTTAATACTTTTTTCAAATAGCCCTTTATTAAATCTAATTTTATGGCACTGTGGACAGTAAAGAGTGTGTTTTAATATTTCTGCTTTTCTGCATGTGTGTATGAAACTTATATCCTAAGACACGATCAATTTTTGTAAAGGTGTCATGTACAGCTAAGAATAGTTATACTCTTCTATTTCCATTAAATAACTGCCAGCAGTGTATCATATCTAATTTTTCTAAAACTCTATTTAGATTCTTAATTTCTAATTTTTTGGTTAGATTTATCATGGGATGATAAGAATAAATCAAGGTCCCTACTATTTCTCCTTAGAATTAGTTTTTCTTTTAAAAAGTATTTAGATGGTATATCATTCCATGCATATATGGTAAGTACTGCAATCAAATCAGTGTCTACTATTTTTCCACAAGATGCAGTT